GCAGTGAGTCTTTTGAAACCTCAAATCCCAACTCCCTGGGACACACTTCTTCCAACAAGGCCATGCCTCCTAATCCTTCCCAAACAGTTCCATCAAGTGGGCAAGTGGGGACCAATTATTCAAATATATGAGCCTATAGGGGCCATTCTCATTCAAACTACAACGCCATATAGAAGTAAATGTATTTATTTGTTTATTTTTGTGGTACCAGGGATCGAACCCAAGGCCTGAAGCATCTTAAGCCACTGTTGTTTCTCTGAGCTGTCTGATAGCCCCAGTGAACTTGTTTTATAGAACCCTGAGCTGAGATGTCTTTCAATATCAGTAGAATTGTACATTATGTGTGTTGCATGTCTTTGTTTCCATAGCAGGCTGCTACTCGGCATTTATAAATGAGGACATTGAACAAGAGCTCTCAAAATGCATTCTCTTTACCTTCTTAATATTCTGTTCTGCTTTGTTACTTTATAAAAATTCAAACAAGAAAATATTCTCCAAGTGGGATTTATGGAGATCATATGAGGGAAGGTGATTATTTAATCTGCTGCTGTATGCTTGTTTTCCCGTCTCTTTCTTTTCTTTTTCAGATGGGCAAAGCATGTGGCTGAGAAAAATGGATACTTGGGTCATGTCATTCGCAAAGGCCTCAATGCCTACCTGGAGGGATTGTGGTAAGCACGGGACCCACATCAGAGTAAACTTCCCCAGCCCTTCGTCTTCAACCTGTCAACATAGTCTTAAGGGAGGGAATCTTAAAATGCAACCCAAAAAAAGCAATTTGCAGCAAAATCACAGCCTTCCAGTGATGGTATCCAGAGTCACACAGGCTGATTGGCTGTTGATTGGAAAACATTGCATTTCCATGTTTAATTATACACAAAAATTAGTTCTCTAGGGGGGAGTGTCCACATTCATCAAGTTGAGAGACACACAGATACGTTGATTTCTCTTTCCTTCAAATATGTTCTACTTGGCTGTAGAGTTAGGAACTACACAGGCAGTCCTGGGACAGACTCCTTTACCCTACCGGGCCTCTCAAGACTGGCCATAGCCACTTGGTTAGTGGGAAAAGAAACCGGTGTGTAAGGTCAAGGCTCTGCCCTTCTCCTTTGCAAATAGTAGACTGTATCTCAGAACTCACTGACAGATGCCCCTTTCCTGACCTTGGCATGGGTAACCCACTCTGTTGTGAAGAAATGAGATATTCTGCATGTCTGTCACTGTTTGGTGATCTTACAAATCTCCAGGCAGCATTCAAGCGCCACCTGCCTTCTTTCCCCATTTTGTTTTCTTCTGTGGACTCTAGCACTCCATCTTTACTCCCTCAGGCCACATTTTCTTGGCTGGTTTATTGCCTAAATGATCTGGGTATTTCCATAATAACGAAAATGGATATGCAAATCATCAGAAATCCCCTCGGTCCACTGCCTCAAAGACATTAGACCAGACCTAGAATAGATCACCCTGTGATATGAACCTTAATTAAAAATAAAAGCGTAAGCCCAAAAGGATGCCATTTTCCCTTTTGGTCCATAGCTGAACCAACAGATCAGTGAGCAAGCATCTTAAATCAAAGCATGCTGGGAAATGAGACTCTTGAAAAAGCACCAAATACAAATGTTTGTTTTGTCACCCTGGAACCGTTCATTATCTATAGCTTCCCTGTGCATGATCATAAAGAAATTTCTTTAAATGAAATTACTGTTCCCAACTGTGAACATGCCTCACTAGTCCTGTGCTGTGTTATCTTGTTTCCCATGAACTTGAGTTCGTAAGATTCTCAAACCCAGGGCTGGTAGTGGTGGTCCCAGCACTCTGGGAGAACGATGCAGGAAGATCACAGCGAGTTCAAGGCCAGTTGGGTCTACATAGTGAGTTCCAGGCTAGCTAGCAGGGCCCTGTCTCAAAAACAAGCAAACAAACAAACAAACAAACAAAAAAACCTCTCTCAAATCCAACCTTAACCTTCCTTCTCTTCTTACAGGATTCTTAGGATGAACTAAACACCCAATTATCAAAGCATTCTTTTGTAGTGTTTTCCTCAAAGAGTCTGTAAACACACTCAGACCTGCAGACACGCCCTCAGATGTCTGACGCCTGAGTTTCCATACAGAGGGTTTGTTTTCTTGCCTGCTTTTGAATTGAACTTCACAAAGCACCTCAGCTCACACATTTTAAAAACTTGCCATGGAGGGTTAGATGGATAAGGATGTGCATAGTTTGTTTTCCTTCTTAAAACCCAGCCATAATAGAATTTTCCCTACACAGGCTGTGGGTGGCAGAGGAAGAGAATGTGAGTGTGATCTGCCCTGGGCGAGAATTTCTGATTCTTTTAAGATCCACTGTAGTGGGCTGGAGGGATGACTAAGTGTCTAAGAGCATGCACTGCTCTTCCAGAGGACTTGAGTTCGCCTCCCAGCACCCACATCAGGCAACTTACAACCAACTCCAGGGGAATATCATACCTCTGGCCTCTGTGGGCACATGCACTCATATGTGCATTTCCACACAGACACATAATTAAAAATAATAAAAATTAAAAATCCCAACCATATGGAACTTTCAAAGCATAAAAAAGTATTATTTAAAAAAAGATTTAGTGTAGTGTTTAAATGTAGGGCACCTTGCTATTGGCCACAAGGATGGCAAAAGTCACACTTGGGACAGTTCACTGCCCCTCCTGTACCACACATTTTCTTACAAGGCCTGCGCTCAGTCTGATTCCAAGTCTCTGCACATACCATTTCTGCTACCCAGGAATCCTGCCCATCTCCTTCCCCGTTTTGTCCATCATGGGGCGTGGCTGTTCCTTGCTTTCCAGTTGCAGCAGCTGGCATCACAGTGCCCCCACACATGGAAGCATCTGGGAAGCATATACTCACAAACTATATGAGTAGACTAAAGTGAATAGATGCAGAACCATGGCGTGGGCTTTGCAAATTTGGATGAGGAAAAGATGCTACCTTGATTGGAAGGCTTAGGAAAGCCTTGACGGCAGAGTTAGGGAGAATGCAGCCTTGAAGGATGGATAGAGTGTCCCCTTATTCTGCAGGGAGCAGAGTTTCTAGCAAAGAAAATTGCAGGAGCAGAAGTAAAGAAATAAGCAAAAATTGAGTGCGATTGGAAAATTTTAAGGCATTCCATTTGCAATAGGGTTAGCTTTTGAATAAAGTGTAGTAAAGTCAGAGAAACAAGATTTCATGGGATTATGGGTGACAAAATATCCACTTCTTAATTGGTGACAAGAAAGGAAAGGGGGCTACTTCAGGATCCAAGTTAAGGGAGCCGAGTGGTTGAACTGAAGATGTGGCTTGTATCAGTTGACTGATTCTCCTTTGTTTATATAATAGAGACCCACACAAAACAGTGTGTCACATGGACCTGAATTCAGACGCTAACAGTGAAGTGCACCAAGGTGTACTTTATCTATGAAAATGAGCATGAATAAAGGATAATGGTACATGCCTTGGATCTCAGCACTGAGGGGGCTGAGGCAGAAGGCTCTAAGGTTCAAGGCCAGCTCAGGCCACAAAGCCAGCCCAGGCTACAAGGCCAGTCCAGGCTACAAGGCTAGCCTGGGCAACTTAGTGGACTCTTTCATCAAGAAAGGAAGGATGGGAAGGAGGGAAGAAGGGAGAAAGAGAGAAGGGCTGAGTGTAGGGGTAGTCCCAGCACTCGGGAGGCAGAGACAGGCTGGTCTCCGTGGATGCCAGGCCAGCCTGGTTACACAGGGAAGGAGGCAAGCATGAAAGGAGAGAGGGAAGGAAGAAAGAATAGGAAGGGAAGACTGGGGGAGAGGGAGGGACAATAGCATTGCTCTGGTTCTCTGCTGGTGAAACTCCTGCATGTCCCTCCCAGACTGAATTCCACCACCACCTCAGTACCCGGAAGTACCTCTTAGCCCAATCTTCTTATGCACCCACCTCATGTTTGCTTTTGGATTCTTCTATGGATATGGATACATGGATATGCTTGCATGCAGTCGATTTAGTTTGGCTTACTTCCAACCTTTATATTATTAAAATCATTACATATGTAATTCTTCAACTGTCTTTTCAAGTTAACACGTTTCTACAGTTTAATTCTTGCCTCTGGGTATATTGTGGCATATCCTAGGTGGTCACACACCAAGGTTCTCATGTTAGTGCATGTTTGTTTCCTTTTTGTTCTCTTGAATCTCCATGTGGCTTGAAGATTGGCCCAGAGGACCTGGCGACAATTAAACTTGCCATTGGGGTCTCCCGGTCTCTGCATAGGCACCTGTTACTAGTTGTTTCCCAAAATGGTTTCCCTTTGCTGCCCTGCCCATCATCTGCACATCTCTGCCCTGCCTCATCCTTGCCAGTCTTAATACTGATGCTAAGTATGGCTGACGCAATCAGTCTGGATTTGAAGCTTAGTCTGACAGGGAAAAAAAAATCATCTATATCCATCACGGTGGGAAGATCTTTGTCAAAATATATTTGAAGCAAAGTGCCTCTAAGGTTTCCTGTCCTCCCAGTCTGTCAAAATATATTTGAAGCAAAGTGCCTCTAAGGTTTCCTGTCCTCCCAGCCTCTCGGCCCTCCCCAGGGGTAAACAGGAAATAGACATGTGCTTCTCCCAGCCTCCGCCTCTGAGATACCTTCTATTTTGCTGTAATAGAACTAAGTCATCCATCAATGTCTCCAGCCTCTGGACGTTATTTCCAAATTACATATGTCAGTTTGATGTGCTTGTGGCTTTTTCTGTTGTTCCAAGATTTATGTGGGATGTTTAAGAGAAGACTGTGATGGGGAATGGGGCTTTTGCTGCATTGGCATAACTTGGAAGATAATGTTGTCATGCCTGAGGCGGTCCTTGGACAAGAGAGGGTGTAAGCAAGGAAGGGCCAGCTGTCATGTTTCGTTTCAGTCTGCTTTATTCATGTGTGTTTTATCTTCGATCTGTGAGTTTGGCTGACCTTTGCCTTCAACACACCCCAAGTACTTAACCCTAGAGGTTAGCCAGCCTACAGTTGGCTTGCTGCAAGGCAAGGAGCTGATGACCAAAGAGGCATCTTTTTGTAATGAAGCAGTGAATTCCATGGGGAGACCTCAACTGTTAGTTTTTTTGGCTTTTTTTTTTCTCCCTCCTCTTTCTTGTCTGAGCTGCTTCAAGCATTAGCACAAAATTGCACAAAGGAAATCATTTAATTGTTTGAGAGGCCACTCAGACGTGCTCACAGCAGGTGCTCACACAAGCCCTTATGAAGATGTATCACCAGGAAAGTGCTAGGAACATTTTATGCCAGGTAGAAAATGTATTTCAGTCCATTCTCCATGAATCCCTTTTTGTGTGACCTTTCTGTCACAGCAGCTGTCATGGAGTTGTGCTTCAGTGCATAAGAATACTGTTTGCCCTTCTCCACCTTGAGGGTCTTTGTGGAAGAACAAGAAAGCTTTGAACTCTGTCTTTGGGCTTCTGGGAATGGGGATGAGCAAATGTTTGTTGCAAATGCAAGAGTATAAATATCTGTGATGAATAGTTTCACATGATTTCTGTGGAGATAGTCAAGTGAATGCTGGGAGGTTCCATGTGGGAAGGTCTGTGTCTCAGAAGTGTGTGTGTGTGTGTGTGTGTGTGTGTGTGTGTGTGATGTATGTGTATGAACACACATGTGGAGGCAAGAGGTACACATGGGGTTTCTTCTTCTATTGACAGGGTCCTGTTGAACCTGGAACTTGCCATTTCAGCTAGGCTGGCTGCCAGGCAAGCCCCTGAGATCTGCCTATATCGCCTCTCACTCCCCACCCCAGTACCCACCATCTCTAGGGTTGCAAGCTCATGCTGTCATGCCTGGCTTTTTATGTAGGTGTGGGGAATCTGAACTCAGGTCCTCACATATACACAGCAAGCCCTTTATCCACTGCACCATCTCCTGAGCCCCTCAAAGGCTTTAGTAAGTGGGGTGGGTTGGTCTGTAGCATCTCACCCCTATAGACATCCACTATTCAGTAGGAAATGTGATGACATCAGACACACAGGCGTTGAGTGATTGATTCTGCCAGATGGAAGATGAGGTGGATTTCTGTTGAGCACCGATATTGACAAAGATGCTTTTAGACATCTCATTTTGATGGATCTCAGTCTGTCCTTGATGGAAATGCTCCAGAATCCTGATAATTTTCCTCTTGGTTTAGGTAATAATTGAACAACACAAGTCTCCCCCTTTCACCAAGGTAACTTGAGAAAGGAGGCACTGTCATTGCAAGCTTTGTCCTATTAACTGTTTTTATGGAGGGTGTTAGTCTCACGCTCACCTCTCAGTCCTCAATTCTCACAGCCAGCTGATGTTTCTCTTGCTCAAGAGAAGCTCCTCACATTATGTTTTAAGAATGTGAGCCCATTCCGTCTCTTCATGGCCCAGATCTTGACCTTGGGTTGCAAATCAATATCATGTCCTTCCCTTGTTCGTTCTTTCTTCCTTTCTTTCTTTCTTTCTTTCTTTCCTTTCTTTCTTTCTTTCTTTCTTTCTATCTTCCTTCCTTCCTTCCTTCTTTCCTTTCTTTTTCTGTTTCTGTTTCTTTCTTTTTTTTTTTTTTTGAGACAGTGTCTCTCTTTGTAGTCTAGCTGTCCTGGAGCTCTCCATGTAGACCAGGCTGGCCTCAAACTCTCAGAGATTCTCCAGCCTCTGCCTCCTGAGTGCTGGGACTAAAGGCATGTGCCTCTTCACATGGCCCTCACACATTTTTGGGAGAAACCAAGACATGAGTACAACCCAAGTATCCCTGAAACAACTTGAGATTTTCAGACCTTAGGTCTAAGGATATAACTCAGATGGTAGAGTATTTGCCTAGCATACATAAAGCCCTTGGTTCAGTCCCCAGCACCAGTCTTGATGATAACACTCCTGCAATTTCAGTACTCAGGAAGTGAAAATAGTAAGTTATCCTCAGTTACATAGCAAGTCCAGGCCAGCCTGGGGTACAGATACACAGAACCCTATCTCAAAAAGAAGTGGGGAAGGAAGAGGGAGAATGTGTAGGACTAGAACCTTGTTCGAGAAGGATGTAGCTTTCTGCTGGGTCCCACTGACATGCTCTCTGGGCTCTGCTCTGCTACAGGGAGTCTGGTCCCCAACCACAGTTGTTGCAGGCTGTATAACATTTATAATACAGTTATTTGTCTTTGCAGGGGACATTCCTTGACTGACCTTGGCTCTTCTTAGCATGAGTCAGAGCTAACTGGTCCACTATTTGGGGTCTTTCATGGGCTGGGAATTAGCTCCCTTTTCAGCCACATGGCCCATGGCCGCCTGCCCCCCCCCCACCCCTCACCCCTGTCTACTTCCTAAGGAGTGCTAAAATGGAGAAAGCATTATCAATATCAACTGCTCCAGTGAAAAATAAGCTTTGGAAACAACTACTTATGATTTATTTTTACTCATAAACTGGGCCATATACATAATTAAAGAAGCAGGTAATTAAAAGGAAGAAAATAAATATTACAAGCACTCTCACCAGATGAGTTAAGGTCAGAAGAGAGAGAAGTTAGCACTGGGCCTTGGAGCCTCGGAGGTGTGTCTTCTGTGTGTGCATTCATATGTGTTTGGTTTTACTTCTCTTTTGCAACCCAGAGCTTTGTGTATGGGAGGCAAGCACTCTACTCTGAGTTCAACCCAGACCCTCAGTATTGTTTGCTTTTGAGACAAGGTCTCATATAGCCCAGACTGGCCTCCTGTACATTGATTGTCATTAGCCAAGAACGACCTTGAACTCTGAACCCCCCTGCTGCTGCCTGGCAAGTGCTGGGATTATGGGCATGTATCACCATACCACCATCTTGTGATATCATTCTGAAACACCACATCCTAAAGCAGCTACACCACGGAGCCCTTGAACCACTCAATAGTATATGTTTCTTGTTTTCTTTCTTATTGTTCATATGAGCAGCCCTCCCACAAACTCCTACATAGCTCTGATTTTTCCCTTTTGAATAAACTCCACAGATGAGATGTGTGAGACTGTGTGCTACACATATTATTGATGCTTCTTGTGTTGGCATGACTACCTCGTCCTCCAGAGCCATCATGTTCATGGCCCTCCCTTTATCGGTGGATGTAGGGCCGTATTTATAGCCCTAGGCCCTTGTCACAACTCAGTGCAGAAATCCCAGGCAATTACTCGATGCATTCAACATTTATTTTGTTGTCTGTTTTGACCACTGATATAAATTCCTTCTAAACCACTTTTCTTTTACCTAGCTTCTAGTGCACAACAAAAGCCCCACTTAATTAAGCTTGTTCAGAACCCTAAGCCCTAGAAAACCTTTCATGAAACAGAGGGCTGTAAAGCTCAGGGATTTTTCTTAATACCGCTCATCATAACCGATGAAGGAAGGCTTCAAGAACCTAGGACCTGCAGACAGTCCCCAGCCATCGTGGCCACATGCCGTTCAACCAGTAGAGGTAGCTGTTGTATCGAGTAGCTCCCGGCCTTATCTGTCCTTTCAGCTTTTAAGAGAAAACAAATCAGCACAGGCAGTATTTTTAACAACAGTGTTTATTTAAAGGGGGGGAAAAACTCATGATTTTGTGGTTTTAAAAACTGCTTATTTTGTGCCCTCTTCTGTTTGAATATAAGGCTCTCTGAGTATTAGTAAGAACCACTATATGAAATTTATTATTAATCATCTATTTTTAGGCATGAAGCTTTGCTGTATTACGTTTTAGCAGCAGAAACTGGAATTGAAGTGTCACAGACAAATTTAGCACACATCTGCGAGGAGCGGCCAGTAAGTAATGTATTCTATTCTTCTCGCAGTGGAAGCTCTGGGGTTAAAGATAATGAATTGAGTTTTACAGGGGCAAAATTAGTCACTGGACCAAAATATTAGTGAATCAACTTCCTCTCCCCTTTCCCTCCTAGGACCTGGCTGGGAGATATTTGGGCGTTGATTGTGTTTGGCGATACTATAATTTCTCCGTTTTTCAAATAGATGCCCCTTCATTTGGTATGTATAGAAAAACAGGTGCTAAACCAGAGTGTTGGGAGGTTTTAATCTATTGTAACAGGGACCATCTAACAGTTTGGTATGGAGTGTGGCATTTCTAAACAATTAGGGAAGAAAGTGAAAAATGTTTGCTATTAAGGTCATGGCTAAACTGCTGTCAGCTTCCTGCTATGTACTTCCTGCATGCCAACCACTTCTTCCAAACAAAGACATCTCTAAGGAAACCACATCTAAAGAGATGTGGTTCCCTGGGCTGGTCCTTTGTCTTTGTGCCCACAGATGGGCTCCTGGACCCTCCACTCTGGTCTCTGGGTAGAGGTCAGCCTCCAGGAGCTACAATGCCCAGACTCCTTTGCCCAGGGCATTCAGGTGAACTTCTGTCAATTGGAGATACTGTTGGAAGATTGCATCATGGGAGGAAGGGAGAGGCCGAGGAATATCTCCATCGTTCTCTTGCCCCTAGCTTCTGGCAGCAGCCCTTCAGCGTTCTAGCTCTCACCAGCCAACTCTTTCATCTTTGATCTCAGCTCTCGTGGGACCATGAAGCCCTGGAAGTTTCACATCTATCCTCCAATAGCACCCTCTTGCACACTAAAGATGACATTTGCTTCTTAAGTCCTGATTACCAAATCATCTCCAATTTCCCATTTACCCTTTATGCTCTTCCAACCCCAGCACCCCCTCCCACTGTACAGCAGCTACCAGAGATAGAGTCTGCTTTCTCTTTTGGCATTGAGTTATAGCTATACCCCTAAGCAGATGAAGTACATGACTAAAACAAAGTCAGAAAGATGCAGAGCAGGTGAAGGACAGGCCATGGCACTGCAGCTATGACAGTCAGAGACAGCCTCACCTGATGGGCTGTGAGCTGCTGATAGAGATTTTCCCAAGCAGATCTGTTCAGGGAGCCACCATGGAAAACAGTATGTCAACAGATGGAAGTGCCCAGGGCATAAGACTTCACCAAGGAAAATGAGATATTTGTTACAGTTTCCTTTCTGTTGCTGTGATAGAAACTGTTATTCTTTTGTTTAAAAAGAAGAAAAGAGAAATGCTGAGACATGAGACATGTTGACTATAAGTTTATTATAAGGCCCGGCAGAGTAAGGAGACTAAGAAGAGGAAAGAACAGGGTAAATGGCTGACCGCCATGGCCGGTCGCCATAGAGAGAGCGTGTAGGTGAGAGAGAGAGTACTAGAGGCAGCAGAGAGAGTAAATGGGCAGGGATCTGTCTTTTTAAAGGGGTCCTCTGTACCTTCGTGCAGACTTAGTTCCCATGGAACTTTGGGCCGACCAGGGTACTGCCTGTTCCACCAGGTAACAGGGGCAGGCCAGCATAATGCCTGAACCTTTCAGAAACTCCCTGGCAAAAGCGACTTGGGAAGGGTAGTGTTTATTTGGCATGTGCTTCCAAGTCACATTCCATCAATGAAGGGAGTCAGGGCAGGAGCTCAAGACAGGAACCTGGAGACAGAAGCCAGGGAAGAATGCTACTTGCTGGTTTGTTCTCTGGTGCTCTCATTTGCAGGCTTATGTTTATTGTATGGACTTTCTTACATAGCCCAGGACCACCACCTGCCTAGGGATGATGTCACCCACAGTGGACAAGGCCCTCCTACATCAATTATTAATCAAGATAGTTCCTCATAGAAGTGCCCACAGGCCAATCTGGCCCAGGCATTTCCCTAGCTGAGAGTTTCCTCTTAGATGACTCAGATGTATCAATTTTACAAATAGAGGTTGACAACTAAAGTTAGAACATATTATAATAGGAAACACCAGTGATTTAACATATTGGTCTAAAACAGGGTGTCCACATGTGGCCCCAAGATAACAGAATACAACCAAAATCAGAATCATAAATTTTCTTAAAACATTATGGTTTTTTTTTTGTTGTTGTTGCTTGCTTGTTTTTTTTTTCTTTTTGTTTGTTTGTTTGGTTGGTTGGTTGGTTTTGTTTTTGAGACAGAATCTCAGTATGGGTTTTTTGCTTGGTTGGTTTTTGTTTGTTTTGTTGGTTGGTTTTGTTTTTGAGACAGAATCTCAGTATGTAGGTCTGGCTCTCCTGGACTCACTATGTAGACCAGGCTGGCCTCAAACTTTCAGAGATCTCCCTCTCAAGTGCTGGGATTAAAGGTGTACATCGACACACTAAGTCATCATTATGACTTTTTCTACAGTTTTTGGTAACTTGATTGTGTGGTTCTAGATCATGAAATTTTAGATGACAATATCATATCACAATGTCACCCATAAGCATATATGCTTTCCTAGCCTATGGGCAATGATTAGACACACCTGGAAATAATACTACCTGACAAGTAGATGCATGTTTTGTGTTCTGCAGCATATTTGAAAATGGGAGACCTTTACTACTATGGCCATCAAAACCAGTCCCAAGATCTGGAGCTGTCTGTGCAGATGTATGCCCAAGCAGCCCTGGATGGAGACTCCCAGGTAACAACAGTAACTGTCTCTCAAGGCCAAGGGCCTACCAGCCTGCTCTGTGGCTTCAGTAGCATGGCTCGATATCGTTGATCCTCATTGCCACACACCCTTCCACACAGTTCTACCAGGTGAATCTTGACAGAGCACTGGCTACACTCCTCATACTGATCTCACGCCAATCCCACAGGGCTGGAATGATCACACCATTTTCTACCCAGAGATATGTCAAGGGAATGAATCGCTCAAGGCCAAACAACTGATTATAAGAAAAGGAACCACAGCTCTGTCTCTGGGTGAAGCCTCAAGTATTTCCACCTCATTGCTTAGTGATAACTTGAGATGCACCCACAGGAGGAAGTGGTTTGCACATACACCGAACCAGGATGTGAGCGATGGGACTTGATTCCCTGAGAACTTTTGGGAAACTTAGTTTTCAATAATTTCAGACTTAAATAAAGGTTATACAGAGAACTCAGAGAGTTACCAGCACCATCCATCCATCTTCCCCTGATGTTCATCTCTTAGAGGCACTTGCCCCGTTGAATGAAGATGTTAATAGCGGGGCAGTAGAATTACTTAACTCCAGTCTTGAATTGCCTCTCAACAGTTTTTCCAGTGTCCCTTTTCTGCTCTAGGATCCCATGCAGAATCCCACATGAATGTAGATGTTACCTTTCTTTCCAATCTCCAATCTATGGCAGTTCCTCAGTTCTTCCTTGTCTCCATGACCTTGAATTTCAAGAATCCTGGTTAGACAGTTTGTAGAACAGCCCACTCTTGGAGTCTGTCTTTTGAGACTGTCTTTTTCTTTCTAATGAATATATTGAGGCTATATATGTGGGGAGAGCATAGCATATACTGGGAAGTGATATATCCAGGAGCATCATATCAGGAATGCATGCAGTCAATATGTCTCATCAGTGGCAAACTTATTTTAGCTACCACTGTGATAAAATACCCTGACCAAAAGCAACTTAAGGGAGAGAGGGTTTGTTTTGACTTTCAGTTCTATGTGATAACAAGGAGGAAAGGTATGTTGGGGAAACTGGAGTCTGGCTTGTCACACTCAGAAAGCAGAGAATAAACAGGAAGAGAGGCTGGGCTTTAAGAGTATGAAGACCTGCCCCCAGTGGTCCACTTCCTTCAAGGTTCCACAATCTTCCCAAACAGTGCCACCTGCTGGGGACCAGGTGTTCAAGCACATGACCCTGTTGGTGACATTTCACAATGAATCCACAACAAAAGATTTCTGTAAAGTGAATATTTTTGCATTTCTAACTGATGAATGAATATCTTTGGGGGAAGTATCTTAAAACTATTCAAGCATCTTGCTTGTCCTCAAAAGTTTGCCCAGGGATTTTAAGAGGTCTTCCCTGCAACAATCACTAGCTCGTGTCTTTATGGTAATTCTTTTTTCCTCCCCTTTCAGCTTCCTAATTAGATTTATGTGAAGATCTCAGGTTCTTTTCCACAATGGAGGATGGGAAGTTTGCTACCTGTTTGTGTGGGTGGCTGGCTGGGGTGTGGTCACAGAGCAAAGTTGAAGCTCATTCCTGCCTCAGCCTTCTTTAATTTCATAGAGGTGTTACATCAGTACAGTTGAGTGTCCAGGTTAAAAACCCCACATCTTTCCCACCCAGGTAGGTGTCCTTGACACATCACTAAGCAAACCCTCAGGTCTCCATTTTCTTATCCGTCCACCGGGGTCATTATAGCCCCTCCCCTGTGGGATAGGAGTATTAAACAAGGTGCTATAAAGCTCTGATCCCATGCCAAGTATGCTTAATGAGCACGATCTATCTTACTATTATTTCTCCCAGATCTGCTGAAGAAAAAAATCTCCCTGGCTATCAGACATCATTTAAAATTAGGTCTAATGATTTGATTTTCAATTCTGTTATTACTTATATTTTAGAAAAACAATGTTACAAACCCAGTAAAATTTAATCTTAAAAGGCAAAAAAACTGAAATCAGTAAATGTGTCTGTTGTATGGCAAGGCCTTTTGTTTTCTTCCTCTTTTCTTTTTTAACTCTTATTTATTCATTTTTGTATGTGGGTGGGGGTGAGCATGCTACAGTATTCATGCAGACCTCAGAGGACAGCTTTTAGGGAGATAGTCCTCTTCTTCCCCTGAGTGGGTCCTGAGGTTTATTGAACTCAGGTCATCGGGGTTGGTGGCAGGCAGAGGACAGCTTTTAGGGAGATAGTCCTCTTCTTCCCCTGAGTGGGTCCTGGGGTTTATTGAACTCAGGTCATCGGGGTTGGTGGCAGGCACCTTTGTCCACTGAGCCATTTCTTGAGCCTTGGAGCTTTTCATTTCTTTGTGATATCGGTATGTTCCCTTTCAGTCCCTGCCCACCAGCTGTGTCTGTTATGTCATCTCCAGAGTACATACGACCTTGAAAATAATATTATCACTCAATTGATACTGTGTACATTAATACATTTTATTACACAGTCTCTTTCATTAGTATTCATTCATGAATGTTTATTCTTTTGTTTGACAAATTATTAATTGGTTCAACATGTATTTATCCAATCCTACTGTACTACAAAGTTCAGTGATGACATAAAATGGAAAAAAAAAAAGTAAAACCACTATTCATGCCTTCTTGGGATTGACAGTCTCCCAAGGAGGAGCTGGGGAGTGCCCCCCTCTTTGACTGTAATGAACACTTTGGGGTCTTCACCTTCCCCCTCTCTCTTGAATACCTCAGTTACACACTGAGCTGAGAACGACTGTCACTTAGTCACAGAGTCCCAGTGGTTTTATAACTGTACAATAGTATATTGCTGGTTTATATTTTCCAGACATTATCTCAGTGAGCAGCAGATAAGCAGAGGAGGAAGACAGAAACCTTGTCGACGTGGATAGTTTATTTCTGTTAACTGAGTGCCTGCAGGCTGACACTTGATTCTCATTTCAAGTTGCTTTTACGTTATTACTAGAAAGGAGGACTATTTCACCCACATTTATTGGTGATGAACTAATTGTCCTATCTTCTCTATGTGAATTCTCTATTCTTGTTCTTTTCCTGGTTATCTATTGGTTCTTTGATATTTTTTAACTCAAGTCATAATTAGTTATTTATATATTTGCCTATTTGACAATGGACCTTAAGCCTAGCAGCCGCTTACATTGATCTTATTTTTCCATTGATCAGAATCCTTGCAATTTTATAACCACTTTCTCTCTTTTCTTCTAACACTTCACGTTTTATGAGTATCTTCCTTCCAAAGAGAGAATGGTGTGTATTCTGCTATGTGTGTGTGTGTGTGTGTGTGTGTGTGTGTGTGTGTGAATTTTAAAGACACTCCATACTCTATCTAGAGGTTATTTGGCAGCGTGAGTAGAGTCTCTGGACCCTGTACCCTTGCCTTTGAATCCCAGCTCTGCCATTTTCTAGCTGGGTGACCTTGAGCACATCCCTTAACTTCTCTATGCCCCAGGTTCCCGATCTATAAAATAAAAGGGTGGTAGTGCCAATACTGACTCATTGTTATGAGATTAAGTGAATGTTTATAAAGCAGAATGCTGCCTCCTACATAGCAAGCACTCACAAGCTGGCTACTAGTGTGTTGACAATGACTGCTGCATGGTCTTGAGGAGAGCCCTGATGTATACAACATGGTAGATGTTGATGGCCTGTAAATTATTATCAGTGGCCATTGAAATACAAGGTCAAAGGGAGACCACAAAAACATGACCAATCATTCATGGAATGGCAACAATGGTTTTTCTTTGTGGATCTCTAATAATAAAGATCCCTTTGCTTTTGGAGGACATGTGGATCTGGCCACAGACCTTCATGCCAGAGGGGTTATTTCTTTCTGGTAGTTTAATAGTACCTTAATTTTAGACACATCTCAACCATCCGGCTCTTGAATGACATTCTTTTATTGGAGCTACCTAGTCCAAAGGATAGGTCCTCCTCTGAGGCTCAGAAGCAAAGTATAGAAGAAAGAAGTAGAAAAATGACCCATAGCTGAGATTTACACCAACAGGAATCATGGGATGTTTTCTACACTCACCTAGAACACCTCAGATATGTGTTCATATGTTATCGTTTATCTGATCAGGTGTCCAGTAGACTAATGGCAAGCAAGGCATGATTCTTAAGCAATGGGTTTAACTCAGTGTTCTGGCTTTGTTGATGAAAGGACTCATTTCCCCAAGTCCTGTGTGGAAACTAGGATGGGGAAGGCTTGCCTGGCATTTGAGCAGATGGGCTGTAGCATTCTTTGAAACCCTCCCTACTCTCCTGCAAATAAATTTCTCAGATGCATATATTCAGGGAAACAATTCATCAATGAACATGACAAAACCATCTGGCTCTAAGGACTGTGAGAAAAAAAATTTAGAGGTTGTAAAAGTTTACATTGTGATGAAGGGTGTGTGTCTGGGTTTTGTGCCAGGAGTTACTGAGTTTGGTTTTGCTCGTGTTTTAGGGATTTTTCAACCTGGCTCTACTGATAGAGGAAGGTGCTGCCGTCTCACACCACATTCTGGAGTTCCTGGAAATTGACCCATCACTCCATCCCAGTAACGCCTCCATTCTCCGGGAGCTGTATGAAAGGTGAGCTCGGAGCACTCTGGTTCCGTGGAGATGAGGTGGGAGGGGACCCTAATGGGTGACACTGCAGACTTAATTCAAGCTAGAATCACCCTGATTTTGTGATGTTAAGTATTAGAAAATGTCACCAGAATTGCTTCTGTCAGCCTTCAGCTAAGCCCAGATGCTATTCCTTTTCCATTGAGCTTCAGGTCCAGCATAGATTGTTCTAGATATGAAGTTCAAGTGCTGACCAAGATTTTCCGTAAGATGGGGGAGAAAAATCACACAACTGATAAGCTGACTTTTCTAGAAGATAAGGAGGTCATCCTGCATCTGGACTTTGGAAGACATTCAGAAATACTGTTTGGGTATATCTGCTGTTCAGGGTCTTCCTTAGGAATGAGGTACAACCTTTCCAGAGGTTTCTGCTCGGATCTCCAAATACCAGCTCAGGTCCAGAGCACTTAGAATTAATTAGCTTCATTCTCTGCCACCATCTTGAGGGCAGTTTCCTATGCAAAATCAAACACATGTGGCTATAAGGGACCAATCATGGCTGGGGCCACCAAGCCAGTGATATCACAGGTTCCCTGATCTTTGTTCACAGGTGCTGGAGCCTCAGTAACGAGGAGTCGCTTAGCCCCTGCGCCCTGGCCTGGCTTTACCTTCACCTGCGGCTTCTCTGGAGTGCTGTTCTGCACTCTGCCCTGGTGAGTATCTTCCCTGAGCCCTGCCTGAGGCCCTGCCCTTCCACAGTCATCTGATGCATGCTCCAAATGTCTGCAGATCTACTTCCTTGGAACCTTCTTGCTGTCCGTAGTGATCGCCTGGATGGTGCTCTATTTCCAGTGTGTCTCAGGTAAAGCTTTCTCTAAAGCCAAGGCAGGAGGGAAGAGGTGGGGGGGGCTTCTTTTCCCTTCCAAACAAGTGACACACCCTCTCTTCATAATCTTGGCCCTGCTTCATTTCTTTAACATGGTCCCGAATAGTTATGAAGGTGTCTTTAACATAGTCTCAAAGCCCCCAGTTGTCAGGGAGCCTTGGACAATTACAATTTTCAAAGTAAAGGGCTTGAAGTTTTGTCTTTTTATCTTTTTAACTTAAAAAACAAAAACAGAAAACACTCTCCCCCCAAAAAAGAACTAAAATGTTTGCTTTTTCCCTACATATGCCTGAAAACCTCATTTCAAACCCAGCTTCTGTATGAAGTGTTTCCACTCTTGTAGCAGGATTTCTTGGACCACCAGCCCCCAAATCATGACTTACTGTTAATTGTAAATGCTCAGCCTTAGTTTAGGCTTGTCCCACTGGCTCTTACAACTTATTTTAACCTGTTTCTCTTCATCTATGTTTTGCCTTGGGGACTTTTTATCTTTCATTCTGTATGCCCTACTTTTCTGCTTGCTCCAGGCCTTGCCAGCCCCTGGCGTCTCCCTTTCTTTCTCCCTTGTTCTCCCCCCAGTCTAGACTCCTACTACTACTACTACTACTACTTAGTCTCTCTGCCCACCAGCCCTGCCTGTGCCTCTACTGGCTAACTCTTGGCCATTCAGCTTTTTATTAGACCAACTGGGTGCTTAGGCAGGCACTTTAAAGCAGCAACACATCTTTAGGTAGTTAAACAGATGCAGCATAAACAAAAGCAACACATCTTTACATAGTTAAACAATTATTCTACAACACAAGAAAATGTAGCACATCTTTACTTAGTTAAACAAAGATTCTATTCCACAGCACACTCATTCCAGTCATAATGCATAAGTGTACCTAGCTACCCAGGTAGACTTGGAGAGTCCACTTTGGTTCTTTGCAGATACAGTTATTTTTCAAGCTAGCCTAAGGAAGTAGCTAATGGAATGAGCTTCTCATCACTTCTATTTGGGACTCCATACTTGTAGTCTGTGTGACTTAATGGGAATTACTCAACCTTTCTGATCTCCCAGTTTCTCATTCAATCAAAAGAGAGTCTGTCATAACTTCCAAGGGATGTAAAATGATGGCGGCAGTTTAAAAATGCATATGAGATACTTATCCTAATGGCAACCATAGTAAAAATGAGAGCTATTAAACTTAAGTGGTGTATAAAACCCTTGCAATGAACAATAGCTATTTTATTTATCTTTCTAGGGTTAAAGGATGGTCCAACTAATACCGTTCAAATTATCATCTCTCACACTTAGCAGAGGCTCAAACCTGCAAATGTCTCTTGGTGGAAAGTGACAGATTGTCACTATCTTGAATGGCAACAAGAGGAGGGAATAACTCACCAAGACTAACAGAGACACTTACAAATGAGTAGATTAGGGGTGGGCTAGCATCTGAGTGTTTGCATGGCTATTATTGTGTAGCAGATGATGAAAGGTGAAAGGAGTGGGTTGGCCTCTCTCTCAAAGGCAAATGAAGTAACATCTCCCTCTCCTTTACCCAAGGAGGTGCTTGGTGCCCTCCACAGCCCTGCCTGGCTGGAGGCCTCGTCCTCTGCCCCTGCACAAATTTCCCTAGGGCACCTCTGTCTCGTCCCTGAATTTGTTGCCAGGTAGAGCACATTTGTTTTGTGTCTTGTCAGTGTTTTCCGTTTCAAATTATCTTTGTCATTTTTACTCTGTGGAAATACTGTTATGACTATTCTGAATGCAGTTCTGTTAGGGTTGCTAAAAATTGACTTGATGGCTTTATGCCAGCTGGTAGCCATGAAAATTCATGGATGGGTGGGAGCTCCTTTATTAGACACTGGCTTCTTTCTGTCTCCCAATCTTCATTATCAGACCCTCTGCATTTTTGTCTCCCTGTCCCTCCTGCGCTTTCATAAATCACATATATTTCCCCTTCCTGTCTCTCCTTGGGTCATTCTGTCACCTGTCACCCCTCACTTTTCAAAATGTTTTCATTTTCTTTTTCCAGGACATCCCCCTCTTTCTTCTTAGCAAACACAGAAGATTGTGTTGGGATGAGATCTAAAAAAGAACTTAATTCTACACGTGGCATGTTACAGATGAGGGAATTGAGGCAAGAGAGGTGGAGTAACCTGTTCACCCAAGGAAATGAGACCAAGAGGGATGTAGGGTGTAGAATTCTAAACTTGCTTTCAAAACCTCAATCCTTGAAAATGTTATAGGTTATCTTAAACTAATTGGCCCTTCACAGTAAGAGTATTTCCTAATAGGTTTGAGTATCTTAAAATAAAATTTGTAATTAACCTGCCCACACACATACTTGCTTTAAAAGCAATATAAATGATAATTAAAAGAAAACAACTTATTACAAAATAATGATTCCATATGTAACTTCTAGCCCACTGCCTCTTAGTTTTACTGGGCATAGGAATCATGCAGGGTTCATACCCCATGAAATTCTGATAGTGTGCGCCTAGATTAGACCTTTGTAGCAAGCCTCTGGGCCATGCCCACACTGCCATTCTGTAAAGCATGCTTGGACCAGGAATGGCAGAAATAAAAAGGAAAGGCTTGCATGCTAACAGAATTTGCCTGCCTGCTGCAGTCCCACCAGCCCTATGAGAACTCATGCTGAGGGCTGAAGAGTCTCTCCCATTCCTTTCCTGGTGTCTAAAGTCCTGGTCTAGAATGAAAACATATCAGTCAATCCAAGCACTCGGGAGGCAGAGACAGGCAGATCTCTGTGAGTTTGAGGCTAGCCTGGTTTACAGATCGAGTTTCTCCCTGGCCTGGGTGCTGGTCAATAAGTCAATAGAGAAGGCATGGGTTTGAAAGCTGCTGGATCTCCAAAACAGCCTGGGATAGGGATTGGAACTAGAAGTTGGGTTTTTTATTCATTTTAGAATTTTTTAAAAAAAATCTATTGTTTTTTAAATTTTAATGGTTTGTCAGCAAGCTGTTCATATCTGTTGTGTGTTCAGCTCCAGCTCGTCCAATTTTCCTCCCAAGTTTCTGTGATGCTCTGTGATATACAGTCAACATGCCACAGCCTTTGCCACATGAAATAGTTCCTTGTTAAGTGGTGCAGGACAGGCATTAGTCCCACAGTAGTGGGGAAAGGAGCTGCTAAGATTCTACCCTACTGTTATTTGTGAGACAATGCTGAGTAAGGGAGAAGCTTGCCTGTGCCTCCATTTGCTTTTCTACAAAATGGAAGAAATAATACTTTGTCTGCTTCTTTCTGTAGCTGAGAGAACCAAATGAGATGGCATGGTATATTTTAAGCTGTTATCTATCAGAATCTTGTCCTATTGGGACATTTTGCTTGGGGTTAAAGAATTCTGCCATAAGGAGTTGATGATACATAACTAGCCTGATTTGCCTCTAATAGTTAACACAAGCCTAACATTCTTTTGCTATGCTGCGGGGCTTCAAAAGCATTTAAACAAAGGTGTTAACAAATATGTCACAAGCAACAAAACAGGGGATAAGTACTTGCCTCTAAGGAAACCTGTTTTTGGTTTCTGGCTTGCCTTCTTCCAGGCAGCTACATCTTTCAAAAGATCAGTGCTTCTCCCGGTAATAAGGTCCCTGGAGTTACTTGGTTGCCACAGGTCTGAGAACAGAACTCCTATTGCTCCAGGCCTACCTTTTTACTCCATGTCCCCCTGTTTGGGCAGCTTCACCTAACCATAGAACCATTAGCATTTTCCTGGAGCCTCCAGTTTCAGGTTGCTCCCGGGAAAGGAGAGGGCATTTTGCTAGAACAATCCAAAAACAGCGCAGTCCCTCTCTGACTCCAAAAAAAGTTTCATTTCACTGCTTGAGTGTGTCTCAAAAGCACCACCTCCCCCTCCCTACCAAGGACACTGAACATAATTAGCTTAATGGAGCAGCTGTTTTGAAACCCAAAATATCCCAAAGTAAAGGGAGTCTGGATTCATGACTACCTGTGCCTGCTGCAGACATCCCTCAAACAAAAAAAAAGCCTGGCTGGCTGCCTGCAGGGAGGTGAAAAAAGAATGGAAAGATAAAACAGAAATGCCATTTCAAAGAAAAGGCCCTCCTTTGAAAAACTGATATTTGAAATTTGAAAACACAAAATCCGTAAGACTCTAAATCCTAAATTCTTAAACTCTGAAACTTAAGAAGCCACATGAAGCCACAAGAGGGAAGTCCCTGACCTGACTTCACATAACAGGTTGTAGTCAAAATGCAGGGGCACTAAACATATATAAAATTATCTTTCGATCTATATATATAAGGTGTATATATGAAACAATGAATTTCATGTTTCTACTTGAGTCCACAAGATACCTTATTAGGCATAGTCTAACCTAAGCCCCAAATCTGAACTCTGAAACCCATCTGGTCTTATTCATTTCAGAGCAAAAAAAAATAATAATAATTAATTCCTCCACCTATAGCATGACTCTAAACTTGATGTCTAAAGAACACACGGCATAAAAGAGGCTTGTAGAGCTTCCTGATCCCAGGGATGATGAGGTGGCCTATATCAGTGCCAGTCTGTCCCTACACTGCCCATGTACTCTGGTTCATCCTTTCAGGCTGTGGTTAGCCTAGGGTTTTTTGTTTTTTAGCAAAATGTAAGATGATCCAACTGAGATTAATTAAACCTTTCTCTGCTCTGCTCCTGTCCCCTACATTTCCAGATAATGAGGTTTCTGCTAACAGCACAGTGAAATGCTACGCAGAGTGCTAGTGAAGAAAGTTGATAGTCTTGAAGTTGGAGATGTCACAGCAAGGTGTCTTCCTGGTCTCCTCTAGCCTCCCACTCCCACCAGTGCCAGTGCTTAGAACTAGTCTAGTCACAGGAATCTTGTACCTGTCCTGGGCTCTACAAGCTCCTGAGGACGAACTCATACATAGTGTGAGGTTTCCAGTGCCCCTCCTTGCCCCTCATTCTTACTAGTGGTCTGCCATGTCAATGCATGCTCCCATATTATTGGTTGAAGCCAACATCTGATTGACTGGCAACCAAATGTGTGCAATGACTATACCAGGAGTCAGCATACTTTCTGTCTTGTTTTCTAGACAGAGTCTCACATAGCCCCTGCTAGCCTCAAGCTTGTCTTGTAGTAGAGGATGACTTTGAACTTCTAGTCCTCCCACATCTCTCCCAGATGCTGGCATTGTAGGACAACATCTCTATGCCCGGCTGATGTGATGCTAAGGATGGAACCAAAGGCTCATGCATACTAGGCAAGCGCTCTACCAACTGAGCACACTCCAGCAGCACATTTTTCTGTAAGGAGTTAGATAATAATTGCTTTAGCTTTTCCAGTCTGTCCCTGGAAATCTGAAGTAGGCATCATAGTTGGGCTTCTAATAAAACTGTGTGTGGATACATTTGAATTTCAAATGTTTTCACACATCACAAAGTCTTATTCTTGTTTTGGTTTTTGTTCTCTCATTTAAAAGTGTAAAAACCACTCTTAGATCATAGACCCATACAAAAAAACCAGGCAGTGACTGCCATTGGCCCTGGGTCCTGTGTGTGCCAGGTCCTAATTGTTCCCACTAATGTACAAAAATGGTTCCCCAGCAGCAAGTAATCCACAAATCACTTCTCTTTGGCTCTGGAATACACTCTTATTTTTTAAGCAGCATGATGATATTCCTGGTCACCTTGATTCTAGCCCAATAATAAAATTAGCACGTTGTCCAGGTGTGGGGAGACAAAGGGGCCACTCTAAAATTAAGATGTGAGGTGGGGGGGGCTCATGCAGTGATTGCAGTCCTCACAGAAGGGAGGGGACCCTCACAAAGATAATAACAAACTTGCCAGAGGAAACAGCCTGCGTTCATTATTGTCTCCGTCCAGGGGGATTAAGTGGTGGCAGTGCTAATTAGGCATTCCTTCTACATTTACACATTGGCACCTTTTGTTTTAATCAGAAAACCAGTTGCTGATTTATCTCGTTACCATGGCGACTTAAATGTTTCCTAAGCTTGAAAGCCCATGCCTTAGTGTTGTATTAACTTCCACAAGGGTCACAGGAAAGGCAGATCCTATGGCAAAAGGGGTTCAGACACCAGCTGCTCCAAGCCCTTCTATTCCCAGGGGAGGAAACATGGGAAACAAGAGATTCTAACACGTTAGAACTGAAGCGTCCACAAGGCAGTATCTAGCTCTGGGCTAGCCAATAACAGGTAAAAAAGATGAACCAGAGCTGGGCGGTGGTTGCGCACGCCTTAAGTCCCAGCACTTGGGACGCAGAGGCAGGCGGATCTCTGTGAGTTCGAGACCAGCCTGGTCTACAAGAGCTAGTTCCAGGACAGCCTCCAAAGCCACAGAGAAACCCTGTCTCGAAAAACCAAAACGGAAAAAAAAGAAAAAAAGAACCAGGACTGCTCCTCAAACTGTGGCACAGTGGTCCCTGAACCTTATCACTTGGTCACCCTAGTAATGTCCCACCATTCCACAGCACCTCGGCCTCTCCCCTAGTCTCTGTTTCCACATCTCCTGTGGGTATTGGAAGAAGCCCTTAAGGAAAATCCTGTCCATAGGCAGAAAAGCCAACCTCCAGCAGTGGCCCTTGGGTGTGGCCATATTCAGATATGGAGCTGTTGGAGAGTTGGATTGTCAACACCGGGTGGCATCTTTGTATAGTACATATATTTCAGAATGGCCTTTAAAAATGGCTCCATCAGGCCTTCAAGATGTCTCAGCCCCTAAAGATACTTGCTACCAATGTTGAAAACCTACATTCAATCCCTGGACCCATGTAATGGAAGAAGAGGATGGACTCCTGCAACTTGTCCTCTGACCTCCACATGTGCCTGGCATGTGCACACACTTACACATATGTGCTACAGAGAAATTAGTACAAAATGTAAAAATAAAAAAGGCCCACTTTCTACAAAGTTAGTAAGACTAAAATACTGTCGAGTTTAAGTGTGATCACAGCTTACAGGTAAACTAGCCCATGTTTGCCCAGACTTTGGCCACTTAGCTAACCATTCATCACACAGCTCTGGGTGTTACTGTCCCCGTTTTTATAGCTAAAGAAGCCAAGGCTCAGAGTAGTTAAGAGCTGGCTCAAGATTACCCAGCTGGTAAACATCAATGCTATTCAACCCATAGTCTTTCTTGCTTTGAAGTTCATGCTGTTTTTGTTCTGGAGCCTCAAAGGGGACTGTAGGCATCCAGAAAACAAATGCTTCAGCTCTTTTGTCAGTCCCATAAGCCATGTACCTGAAATGAACAAATCTTAACACATTTCCTTGGGAAACAGTAACATTTCCCACACATTTACTCATGCCAAACACTGTTCTAAGCTTTTTTAATGCACTTTCTCATTTAACCCTTGGAATGATTCAGCGAGGCAGCTACATTTATCTTCTCCATTTCTGTTTCCAAGATGGTATTTTGTAGAAGGGAGCACCAAGGTTCAAAGAACCTAGATTATGGGTCCAATGTTGTCTGTCTACTGAGAGTTGGGTTCACCAGCCAAGGAGCATCCCTCCTGCTTTCTGGATCCCGGGTGAGGCTGGGTGTCCTGCATATGCCTCTCAATGTTCACCTCCGTTTGCATGTGTCTCTGCAGCCAGTGGCTCCTCTCCAGCACCAGCCTGGGTCGTGGCAGACCCCACCTCATCCGCCCCAAGTCCAGCTGTGCCTCCAGCTGCAGATGCCTCCGACCATGACCCACCCATGATGGCTAACAACCCTGAGCCTCGAGGGTGAACTTGCACGTCCAGTCTCTCCAGCTGAGAGATAGTCCTTTCAATAGCTGGTTGGGGAAGGCTAAGGCCAGGGCATTTTGCTGATAAATTACCTTAAATGTCTTGTGAACTGGATGCCGGTTTTGCACTTGGTGTCTTTTTGTTTATTTTTAAACAAGGACATACCCAGAGCAGAATGTAGTTATCAAACAAATTCAAGAATTACCTTGAAACAGGGACATGTGAGGAGGTGAACTGGGCCATCAGACTGTCATTCCTGGTCATTGTTCTGGGACCCACAGTCTGCCTTGTGGCACTTCCATATTCCCATCCATGGAGAGGCATTTAAAAAAGTCTTAGTCTTTGTTCATCCTCTTTGACCAGAGAACAGGAACTTCTCTCCAAGGCTAATGATGCTTCAGTGTCTGTGTTTGCCACATCCTGCTCCCAAAACCCCACCTGACAGATTGCTCTCTGAGTCCCAAACCGAGCAGTTAGAAGGCGCCTTGGAGTGAACAAAACAGCGTATACAGGGAAGGCAATAGCATTGTACATTGGTTTACATTTTTTCCCCTGTGGGTTTTTCTAGAGTCGTAGTGCTTCCAAATCATCTGATGACATTATTGGATATCGTTTATGTTTCCATCACAACCCATGCAATAACATCTAGAAAATCTTTACTATTTAAGTGTAGTTGTCTTCTTCATGAATCACCATTAGAATAGACTGGCAGCAATGGAATATGCAGAAAAACA